AAAAAAGGACCAATAGAAGGAAGGAGGGAAGGAAGGAAGAAGGGGAGAGGGAGGGAGGAAGGAAGGAAGGAAGGAAGGAAGGAAGGAAGGAAGGAAGGAAGGAAGGAAGGAAGGAAGGAAGGAAGCTATATACTGTATTATAAATCAAATCAAATCACCCCGAGAGAAAACAGAAGCTCAAACGGAATAACTGATAAAACAGTTTGGACACTGTTCAAGAATGGAATCTACTGCCCAAAATCCATAGTGTAGGTTCTCTTAAATAAGCTTTCAGACTTGCAATAAATCATTGCAAAATATGAAAGCAACATCTGCCAGAAATAACAAGAAGACCAAGCAAGGTTTCCAGTCAACAATAATTAGTGTTTTTTTTGCTTTGTAGCTTATCTTCTGCAGTCTGGTATGCCTGTTTGTCATTTTTTTTGCCGTCAGTTTCTTTCTCTAATTTTAGTTGTAGTTTTTAATTTTCATTAATCATTTGATGTTACAAAGAGCCTAGGTTGCTTCTCTCTATAAACACAGAGCAACTTTCAAAACATGGTAATATATACTTTATATATTTACTATAAAATATATCAACTCAAGGTCAAAATGATAAAATAGAGTATCATCATTAAAACAAATACTGAAGCAGATTTTAAGCAGCAAAGTTGTTTCAGAATGAAAAGTTGGGCAATTTTCAGCCATGCTGCTAAATATGGGAGTCAAATTCCACTTGTGAGCTAATTTTTCCCCAGGCCTCAAAAATTAACCATCGGAATATTGAAATTCTTAACATTACGGTACGGAAATTTTTATTATAATAAGGTAATCACTGCTATTGGAATAATCTGGCTATGATTTTTATTACTAAGCCTTCATTACAGGCTTAGATCCACATATTTAAACAAGGATAAGGGAGTATGGTTAAGTCATAAAGACACTTTTGATGCTTCACTGGTTTTACTGGTTACCATGATCTGCAGTTAAATTGATATCAAAAACATTCAAGAGGGGGAAACAGAGCAAACACCCACCTTTATTGTGCTATTCATAAGTGATTATTCTTTATTTAAAATATTTCTCGGCCACCCCCATTGCATCATATCAGTTTCCAGGATGGTATATATGGCAATACAATAAAATCCGAAAACAATGCAAACATTCGATCACCATAATAAGAGATAAATAAGAAATATTGCCAGACTTGAGAAGTTACTCAAAAAACTCAATGTCTAAGTAGGATCAGTATAGACCAGTGGTTCTCAACCTTTTTAATGCTGCGACCCCCAACCGGTCGTAAGTCGAGGACTACTCAACCGGTCATAAGTCGAGGACTACTCAACCGGTGCAGCACTGTTGGCAGAATGGGACTTTTGGCGGGCTCAGCAGGGCAGAGACAGCCTGGACAATTCCTATTGGCTTTTGAAAGCCAATAGAATTAGACTTTATTCAAGAGAGTCTATTCTATTGGCTTTCAAAAGCCAATAGAATAAAAGGGAGTAGCACAGCTAAGGAAAAGGGGAAAAAATGGCGGACTGCGTTGTTTGGTGACCTCTGTGAAATGGTCGTTCGACCCCAAATGGGGTCCCGACCCACAGGTTGAGAACCACTGATATAGAAGTACAGGTAGTCCTCGACTTAAAACAGTTCGTTTAGTGACGGCTGAAAGTTCAATGGCACTGAAAAAAATGACATGACCATTTTTCACACAACCACTGTAGCACCCCCTGGGTGATGTGATCAACATTCAGACACCTGGCAATTGGCCCATATTTATGACGGTTGCAGTGTCATAAATCATGCGATCCCCTTGTGACCTTCTGATAAGCAATGTCAATGGGGAGCCCAAGATTCACTTAACAACTGTGTGACTAACTTAACAACTGCAGGGATTCACTTAACAACTGAGGTAAGAAAGGTTGTAAAATGGGGCCAAATTCCCTTAACATCTGTCTCACTTAGCAACAGAAAGTTTGGGATTCATTGTGGCCAATAAGTCAAGGATTGCCTGTACTTATATATACACACAAACATGCAAAATAAAGAACAAGCTGGACAGCTCTTTCCTTCCCAAAACATCTGGCACAACTAGTATACCGGCAAGAGAGAAAAACCCCTCCTTTGTCATCTGACACAAAGCCGGATTAGAAACTGCCACTCATCCCCATAGAAACAGACACAAACAGTATCCCTCGATTTACAACAGTTGAACCCAAATTTCCGTTGCTAAGCAAGGCAGTGACTGTTTTGCCCCATTTTACAACCTTGGTGCTGCAGTTCCTAAGCAAATAACTGCGGTTCCTAAGCGAATCATGCGGTCATTAAGCGACTCCGCCTTCCCTCATTGACTTCGCTTGTTGGAAGCTGGCTGGGAAGGTTGCAAATGGCGACTACATGATACCTGGACATGCAACTGCCATAGATACATGCCAGTTGCCAAGCGCCTGAATTTTGGTCACGTGACCGTGAGGCTGAGACAACAGTTGTAAGTGGGAAAAATGGTCGTAAGTCTTTTTTTCCCCCTGTGCTGTTATAATTACAGTCATTAAACTAATAGTTATAAGTGGAGGACTATCTGAATGCTACAGGGAGAAAGACCCCAATCTAATGGAAGCTAAAACGTACAAGGAACAGTTGCTGGAATTGGGTATGTGTAGTTTAATGAAGAGAAGGATGGGGGGGGGGACAGGATAGCCGTGTTCCAATTTATTTATTTTATTTATTTATGAGACTTATATACCGCTTTAAGTGCGAGCACTCTCTAAGCGGTATACACCAGTAAGCAATGTATATATATATATATATTTACATTGCCCCCAACAATCTGGGTCCTCATTTTACCTACCCCGGAAGGATGGAAGGCTGAGTCAACTTTGAGCCGGTGAGATTTGAACCGCTGACCTGCTGAACACAGTCAGCTAAAGTGGCCTGCAGTACTGCACCCTAACTGCTGCGCCACCAATATCTCAGGGGTTGCCCTAAAGAAGAGGGAGTCAAGCTATTCTCCAAAGCGCCTGAAGGCAGGACAAGAAGCAACGAATGGAAACTAATCAAAGAGAGAAGCAACCTGGAACTAAGGAGAAACTTCCTGACAGTGAGAACAATTAACCAGTGGAACAACCTGCCTCCAGGAGCGGTGAATGCTCCAACACTGGAATTTTTTAAGAGACTGGACAGTCATTTATCACAAATGGTATAGGGTTTCCTGCCTGAGCAGGGGGTTGGACTAGATGACCTCCAAGGTCCCTTCCAACTTTTTTATTTTTATGGCTTCTCCTGCTATGCCCAAATCTTGAAGAGTCATCTGGAAGAGCCAGACGGGCAGCAGACAAATTTAATAAATAAATGCAAACACATCAGTCAATGGTTTGCACTCTGAAGAGAGGAGAAGCAGCACCTTGCTGGGAAATCCTTGCAAGGCAGGAAAATGTGATCCATAATGCAGAGAAAAGACAAGGACAGAATTCCGCGCCCCCCCCGTGTTTAAAAGACCTCGCTGCCTTGCGAAGAGCAGAGAACTTCCCACGGAAGAAGGAGGGGGGAGACAAGGAACTTTATGAGGAAATACGCCTTTTCCAAGTAACTCTCAACTTACGACCACAATCGAGTCCCAAATTTCTCTCGCGAAGTGAGACAGCTAAGTGAGCTTTGCCCCACTTTATGACCTTTCTTGCCACGGCTGTTAAACGAATCCGGGTTCCCCCTTGACTTTGCTTGTCCGAAGGTCGCAAAAGGAGATCACATGACCCCAGGATGCTGCAACCCTCATAAATATGAGCCAGTTGCCAAGCATCCGGATTTTGATCATGTGACCATGAATGAGGATACTGCAATGGGGGGAAAGGGTCCTAAGCCACTTTTGCCAGTGCAGTTGTAACTTTGAACGGTCCCTAAATGAAATGTTGTAAGTCGAGGGTTACCTGTGTATAGTGGTACTAATGTTTTCTTGCACACATGGCATTACCAACCTAGGTAACATCATCAAGGGTTGTGATGGGCTGCATTGGCGACAGTGTCCCTAGCACGGCAAGACAAGAAATAAGACAAGACACAGAAGGCAAGGCAAGAGGTACTGGAGGGAAACTAACCAAGGAGAGAAGAAATCTGGAATTAAGGAGAAACTTCCTGACAGTGAGAACAATTAACCAGTGGAATGGCTTGCCACCAGAAGTTATGGGTGCTCCATCACTGGAGGCTTTCAAAAAGAGCCTGACAGCCATTGGTATAGGGCAGGGATAAGCAACGTTGGCTCTTTTATGACTCGTTGGCTCTTTTATGACTCGTGGACTTTCAACTCCCAGAATTCCTAAGCCAGCATGGCTGGCTCAGAAATTCTGGGAGTTGAAATCCATGAGTCATAAAAGAGCCAAGGCTGCCTACCCCTGGTATAGGGTCTCCTGCATGAGCAGGGGGTTGGACTAGAAGACCTCCAAGATCCCTTTCAGCTCTATTCTGATTGATGGGAACGATCACCCTGGCCTGGAAAGCAGCCCACCGCTCCTCCATCCGGGATTCAACCCAACCGGTTTGGCTTCTGCATCTTGAACCGGTCTCCACCAAGCCCTCCTTTCGATGCCCAGGCAAGGCGGGCAGAGAATGAGCCCTGCCGTTTCAACCCCGGGCCGGGCGGGGAAGAGGAGGGCAGCGGGTGCAAACGCGGGTGCAAACGGGCGAGGCTGGGGGTGGGAAGGAGGAGGTGAGGCGGAGAGAAGGGGATCCGAACCCCCACTTCCCCCCCCCCCGGGAAAGCCACTCAGCTGCTGCGCGCTGCCCGTCGGCGGAGCGGAGCCGCGTTCAGCACCAGGGCGGCGGACAGCTCCCCGGGAAGGGAGGGGGGAGAGCGAGGGAGACCCGCGGGGAGGAGAGGATGACGTCATCAGCCTCCCCCTCCCGCCGGAGCTGCACTGGCGGGTCCTGCCCAACCGGGGGCGCCTGGCGGGGGGGAGGGAGGGAGGGGAGGCAGCGGGGGGGGAGTTCAGGGGGGGTTCGGCTTTTTCTCCCCTCCCCCCGTCACTCACCAACGGTTGCATCTCGGCGCGCACGGCGGGCACCTGGAAGCGGTCGATCTCCTCCATCATGGTGCCGGCGGGCCGAAGAGAAGGAGGGGGGACCGGGAGGAAGGCCTCGGCAGCCTCACTGAGGCCGGGGATCGCCCGTCGCCGCCCGCCTCATCCCGCCGCTAGAGCCGTCCGCCGCCGTGACTCAGCCCCCGCCCTGCCCCGGCCGCCCAGCTCGTTCGGACCACTGCGCACGCGCCGACGCAGCCCGGAGGGAGGGGAGAGGGAGCACAGCGCGCCTGCGCAGCACCCGGCTGTCGAAGCAGCGCCCGGCCTACCTCATTTGCATAGTCATGAGGGGGCGGGGAGACCTCCCTCCTCACGGGTGGATCTCCTCAGGATGCGGTTCATTTTGTTCCCCCCCCCCGCCCCGCCACTTCCTCAACCCACTCAAGAGGGCTCTTCATGGCCCGAAATCCTCGCTGGAGAAGGGAAACAAACAAACAAACAAAAAAAAGACGAGGGAGAGAAAGTGAGGGAAAGATCGCAGCGCTATGCCTTAGCTCGAGGGCCCTTCTCGCCCCCAGCAGCTGCCTCTATGGTCGCTTCCGGTTGGTTGCCAGGGATGCCGGAGTCAACTTCCGGCAGCTGACGAGCAGGGTGGAAAAAGGACGGCCGCGGCGGAGGCGGCGGCGCTGCTCTCAACATGCCCGGGAAGCATCTCTACCAGCGCAAGCAGGTAGGGGACGGGGGTGGTGGGGGGGGGTGGCGTGACGTCTCCGTGACGCCATCGCGCCACCTGGTGATGTCACCCTGTTGGCGCACCAAAGGTTTCTCCAATGGAGCCGCGGCTTCTCTGCCTCCAGAATGGAATGAACGGCCACATAAAACCCTCGAGCCTTAAAAGCATCTTGTGCCCCAAAATCAGACCCCAGGAAAAATCTGTCTGTCTGTCTGTCTGTCTGTCTGTCTGTCTATCTATCTATCTATCTATCTATCTATCTATCTATCTATCTATCTATCTATCTATCATCTATCCATTTATCTGTATTTATCATCTATCTCTATCATCCATCTATCCATTTATCTATCATCTATCTATAATATCTATATCTATCTATCTATCTATCTATCTATCTATCTATCCATTTATCTATCATCTGTCTCTCTGTGTCTCTGTCTGTCTGTCTATCTATCTATCTATCTATCTATCTATCTATCTATCATCTATCTATATCATCTATCCATTTATCTATTTGTCTGTCTGTCTATCTATCTCTATCATCTATCCATTTATCATCTGTATTTATCATCTATCTATCTATATCTATCATTATCTATATCTATCATCTATCTATCCATTATCTAATCTATTATCTATCTATCTATCTATCTATCTATCTATCTATCTATCTATCTATCTATCATAAAATTTATTGACCACCCATCTGACCACAGAGTAATTTTGGGAGGCTTACAGTATTAACTGTATGATATTTACTAAATTTATAGGCTGCCCATTTCACTGTTGACTTTGTGTCTTTCTTTTTTTTCTTTTTTTAATAAATATTTTATTAGATTTTATATAGGTAAGGAAAGGGTAGGATCAATACAAGTATAGGGGGAATGGGAAGAGGAATTTGGGGTAGGATAAGGGTAGGTACAGTAATAGGGTAATCCCCCATAATAATCCCAAGCTTTAACAAACAAGCTACCAACTATTGAATAAACATAATTTATATAATACTAAACAGTTGTAAAGATAAAATTAATTATAATCACGTAACTAAAATTTGATGAATAGGTAAAATTCCTCTAAATAGATATCCATACTTAATAACTTATCAACTAATGTCTGTGTCTTTCAATGCTCATCCTCCTCCTTTTGGTGATTCCATATCTGGTTTAAATCAGGCTGGGCTTTCCTGGTGGCCCCCTTTCCACTAGAATCAGCAGTACCTCTTGGAGCGTCAGTCAATCTCTGTGCTGCCGCCTGTAAGGAGGCACAGCAATGGAACAAAAATGCAATATTCTTTCACTGGGCGTCCTGTCTAACCTGCCTAAAGCTATGAAGGGTGACCAGAACCCTCATTGAAAATGAGTTGTTCACAAGGAAAGGAATGGCCTGGCAGGGGATGCCTTTAAGGACATCTGCGGTTCGAGAGTCACTGGCAGGTTGGACCACTTTTCACTTCTGCCCATCTTCAAGTCCAGCTGGATCCTGGCAGTCTTCCAAAGAGTTTCTAACCATCACTTCTTACTGTAAGTCACAACGGAGGATAGCTGGACCGGCTGTTCCTTTGCACTGCAATTACTGGTACTTCAGACCATTGGTCAAGCTGTAGGTCAGTCCATGTCTTTAGGGGCAGCAGTACCTCAATTTGCAGCTACTGCTATAGGTAGTCCTCAACATACAACAGTTCATTTAGTGACCATTCAAAGTTACAACGGCACTGAAAAAAGTGAGTTATGACCATTTTTCATCATTACGACTTTGGTAGCATCACCATGATCGTGTGATCGAAATTCAGATGCTTCGCAGCTGGTTCATACTTATGACCGTCGCAGTGTCACAAAGCCAAGTGATCCCTTTTTGTAAGCTTCTGATAAGCCAAGCCAACGGGGAGGCCATATTCACTGGACAACCAGATTAACTTACCAACCGCAGTGATTCGCTTAACAACGGTGGCAAGAAAGGTCGTAAAATGGGACAAAATTCGATTAACAGCAGAAATGTTGAGCTCGTAAGTCCACAGGACTGCCTGTAGCATGATGCCACCAAGAGCATTTTGCCACGCCTGTTAAAGAAGCAGAAGTGATGTTAGCAATAAACCACAGCAAGATTCTTAGCCAAAATAGGATCTGAGCCAGAAAGGGAGATTAATATTTATTTATGCATAAGTAAGAAGACATGAGGCAAGAAGACCCCTTAAAAAAAAGAAAAAAAACATTTTATACAGGTCGTCCACAACTTACAAACCTTTATGTCAGCGGTTCTCAACCTGTGAGTCGCGACCCCATTTGGGGTCGAACGACCATTTCACGGGGGTCGCCAAACAACGCGATCCGCCATTTTTTCCTCAGCCGGCGCATGGGGCGGCACTGCGCATATGCGCCATGCCGCGCATGCATCCATGGGGTGGCACCACGCATGCGTGCCACACATGGGGATGCCCCGCACACGCGTGCTGCGCATGGGTCGCCGCTGCGCATGCACGCCGCACATGGGGGCGCCGCCACGCATGAGCACTGCTCATGGTGGTGCCGCGCATGTGCGCCACACATGGGGGCGCCACCGTGCATGGGGCGCCGCATGTGCGCCGTGCATGGGGCGCCGCCGCGCATGCGCGGTGCGTGCTTATGACCGGGGTCGCCGGTATAAAAAGGTTGAGAACCACTGCTTTATGTGATCAAAATTAGGGGGCTTGGCAACTGACTCGTATTGATGATGGTTGCACTGTCCCAGGGTCACGTGATCACCATTGGTGACCTTCCCAGCCGGAAGGGGAAGCCGGATTCGCCTAATGACTCATTCATAACTGCAGTGATTCACTTAACAACCATGGTTAAAAAAAATGGTAAAAGGTCACGGGATCCCTTTTGCGACCTGCTGACAAGCAAAGGGGGAAGCCAGATTCACTTAACAACCGTGTGACTATCTTAACGACTGCAGTGATCCGCTGAACAAGTGTGGCAAGCAAGGTCGTAAAATGGAGCAAAACTCACTTAGCAACTGTCTCGCTTAGCAACTGAAATTGTGGTCATAAGTCGAGGACTACTTGTATACAGTTTGAACATACTGGGTTTGGAATGTGTTCCTGAATTGACCAGCCTCATTTGAGCCATCAAGCCTCTAGAGCAGGGGTCCCCAACCTATGGTCCACGGCCCGGTACCGGGACGCAGCTGTTGGCCACCGGGCCCTGGGAATAGCTGGTGAGCCCTGCCCCACTCGCAACAGCACAGCTATGCTGGTACTAGCGGTCTCATTTGCATATGCACGGGGACACTAGCACCACCGCCAACATCACGCAGGCACAGGCGGCCTGTTTGTGTTTGCGATGTGCTAGCACATGTACTGTGGGTGGGCATGGCCCATTTGCACATGCACATGGGCATCAGCGCACATGCCATGGATGCACGCAGCCCATTTGCGCCTGAGCATGCACACTAGCGCCACCATTGTGCACATGCCCATTTGCGCATGTGCACATGGGCCACGTGCGTGCACATTTCCCTGCATGCACGCACAGTGCAGTGATTCGCTTAACAACTGTTGCAAGAAAGGTCATAAAGAGAGGCAAAGCTCACTTAACAAAATGTCTCACTTAGCAGCAGAAATGGGCTCAATTGTGGTCATAAGGCGAGGACTATCTGTACTCAAAGATGATCCGTTCTCCTGCTCCCATTGTCACTGGCCTTTATGGGGTTCAGGAGTAAATGTGAAGCTTGTCCGTTGTGCTACTTGGGGGGAAAAAAGCAAAACCTTATGTTTATTTTGTTTCTCTGTTTTAACCGTAATTTAGCTTTTCATCCTGTAATGCCAGAGTTATTCTATCTGCTTTGTTCTCCCAGGATCGTCTTACCTTCTTCTGACATAAAATCTCTCTTGTTTTGCCTACTTTTTCTGTGCTACGAGGGCAGTTCTTCCCAGTGATTCCCAGAGGCCTCGTCACCACCAAATCCCTCCTTAATGCATTTCCGTAGGAAGAATTGTGTGAATGCATTATTAATCCAAAGCCTGTAATTAGCTAACAAGCGGGCAGTATATTTCAGAAACAGGTTTTTATAGATAGTTTTTTTTTAATCTCTCAAGCCTATAAGTAATACTTTTATGGTACAGTTCTATGCATATTTTATGGGCAGCCCTGCTCTGTGCTTTAAATGCTGTTCGCTCTTCAGAATAAAGACAGGGTATAAATAGAAATAGATGAAGTTTACAGAGCCAATTGTATGGCTGACTTGCAGATATTCCAAGAAATATTTTCCTTCCGCAACCTAAGTCCAAGAAGTGCTTTAGTTCACGCGTATAAATAGTTGCAACTCTGAAATTGCTTTTTTATTTTGTGGACAGCCCTCCAATCTGAAATGGTATAGTTCAGTGGTGGCGAACCTATGGCATGCATGCCAGAGGCGGCACTCAGAACCCTCTCTGTGGGCATGCTTGCCATGCCCTGGAGATGGCAACCGTCTCTCTTCAACCAGCTGTCCCTCTTCAACCAGCTGCCCGCTAACTTGCCGACATCCCACATGGCTAGATGCATCCCATGCGCTCGCTGGCCTCTGTGTGCAGGGGCTGATGGTGTCAGGCAGCAGCTGCCCCAGTCCCTGCCTCGCCTTGTCCTGCGACAATGACACCCCCGCCCTGCCTCGCCTTGCCTTGCCTCACCCCGTAGGACAAGCCTCCTGCCCACTACCCCACCTGCCAGAGACCCCCTGAATCTCCCCCAACCCTGCCCAGCCCCCACAGGTGTCCCTCCCAATGAGCAACATTGAGGTGATCAAGCCCACCTTGGCCATACCCACCCAGTCTGCCATGACCACCACAGCCACGTCCACCCAGTGGGCGATGCCCACCTGGCACCTGGCGATAAATAAGTGGGTTTTGGGTTGCAGTTTGGGTATTCAGTCTCTAAAAGGTTCGCCATCACTGGTATAGTTTCTCCTGCCTTAGCATACGGTTGGATTAGAACACATATCTCCAACCTTTCTAGGCTTGCGGGCCGGAGGGAAGGAGAGCGGCTTCTAAATTGGTGCACGCGCGCACATGCAGACAGGCACACCAGCGCAGCACTAACGGCCCCGTTCCCGCATCTGTAAATGGGCCGTGCATACCTGCCCGGTGCTAGCGGACCCATTCACACCCGTGTGCATGAGCAAATAGGGCTGCGGGTGCTAGCGTGAGTGGGGGGAGTGCGTGTGTACGCAGTGATTCACTGGATAATGATGGCAAGAAAGTTCATAAAATGGGGCAAAATTCATTTAATAAATATCTCAATTAGCAACAGAAACTTCAGCCTCATTTGTGGTTGTAACTCGAGGACTGCCTGTTCTGCTTTCCACACATCAGCCCTGCTTATTGCTACCAGAAAAGTATTGGTTGAGGTGAGCTGGGAGTAAATAATACAATGAAATACTTTAGGAATATTTCCGTAGAATGAATTGTGAGCTTTAGCAGACCTCGCCATTTTGGTGATCGCTGATCTCGTGCGAAAAATAATTATGATTTTATTTTGTCTTCTCTCTAGAGTCAAATTGGACTTCGACCTTCAAAATCAACTACAAGGAGAAGGGTAAACTATTTAAATTTTAAGTGTGCTTTTTCTTTCAAGTCACCACAACAATCTCTATGGATTTTTTTTTCTTCAAGTATGTTTGGCTTTGTGGTCTAACTCTCTGAATATAGACCAGAAAAAAGAAAGAAAACTGAATTAGATTGTTTATGCACAGATCTTTCTCTCTCCCAAGTAAATAAACTCAGGAATAAGCCTCACAGCTTCCAACTTAACAAAAATAATTGGATAAGCAATATATAATAATAATATAATAATAATAATAGTAAAGTTGGAAGGGACCTTGGAGGTCATCTAGTCCAACCCCCTGCTCGGGCAGGAAACCCTACACCATTTCGGACAAATGGCTGATACATATTCAAGTCTGACCTTTTAAGTACAATCCATTGGACGCATTTTGGAGATTAAGCTAAACGATATTATTAGTTCTACATTGTTATGGCAGCTGAATTCTTTTTAATCAATTTCCAGACAATTGCAGTAGAGAGATCAAAACCCTACCCTGTCCTCTTTGTATGTGTGGACACTACTACTGATATCTACAGGAGAGGAACTCATCAAATTTGCAGATGATACTAAGCCGGCAGGAATAGCCAACACCCTATGATAGGCTCAAGATTCAGATGGATCTTGACAGACTTGAACACTAGGCTCTATCTAACAAAATGAAATTCAGTGTAGAGAAAAGTAAAGTCTTAGGCACGAAAAACCAAAAGTACACATATAGGTTGGGTGAAACCAGTCTTAATAGCAGTAGCTGTGAGAGGGATCTTGGCGTCTCAGTGGACGATCAATTAAATATGAGCCAACGGTGTGTGGCAGCAGCCAAAAAAGCCAATGCAATCCTAAGATGCATTAACAGAGGGATTCAATCAAGATCATGTCAGATAGAATACCACTCTATAAAGCCTTAGTAAGGCCACACCTAGAATAGTGCAACCAGTTTTGATCTCCACACTATAAAAAGGATGTTGAGCCTCTAGAGAAGAGCAAAAAAGGTGATTGGGGGACTGGAGGCTAAAACATATGAAGAACGGTTATAGGAACCACACATGGCTAGTCTAGTGAAGAGAAGGACCAGGGGAGACATGATAGCAGTCTTCCAATATTTGAGGGGCTGTCACAGAGAGCAAGGGGTCAACCTATTTTCCAAAGCACCTGAAGGCCAGACAAGGAACAAGGGATGGAAACTGATCAAGGAGAGATTCAGCCTAGGGATAAGGAGAAATTTTCTGACAGTAAGAACAATCAACCAATGGAACAGATTGCCTTCAGAAGTTATGGGAGCTTCATTACTAGAAGAGACTGGACTGCCATCTGTCTGAAATGGTGTAGGGTCTCCTGCTTGGGTGGGGGGGTTGGACTAGATGACCTACAAGGTCCCTTCCAACTCTGTTATTCTATTATCTCTTTTCTCCATGTCTCTTCTCAGTCATTTTCTAAAATTATCATTTTAATCTAATATATCAATGTTTCATTGCATTACTAAATAAACAGAGTCGGCAATAGTTGCGAATAAACATTACTGAATAAACAGAGTCTTTTGAATGAAGGTGAATCTATGTTGCAAGATCCAATCTGGGTCAGTCACCGGGACCACAGGTTTATTTTTCTGAGCTTTCAGACTCGTGTGTGAGGACAAGTCATGCATTGCAAAGATCGCTGTCCTGTGACTATGTAGGACAGATGAGGAGGAAGCTAACCACCAGATTGCAAGAACACGAGTGAGCGCTTAGACAAGACTCATTGGTAGCCCCACAATGAACAAGGACACATCTTCAATTTCGCAGCTATTAAGATTGTTGGCCGAGCAGGGACAAAAATAGCCAGGGAAATCATTGAAACCTGGGAAACGGGCTCCTCACAAGAGTGCTGATTTACAACCAGCTTACGAGGTACTTAGGAGTGGAGGGCTAGGCAGCACAAGGGAACAACAGCCAACAACTTAATAACCAGCTATCAACCCCCCAATCAACAACTAAAAACCCACACACAATCAGGCACCATATAAATACCACACACAGATTAGCCCAAAGCACAGACTCTGCTAGAGAGATGTTCCCTGAGGATGGGCTTCAGCATAAGTCCAAAAGCTCGGAAGATAAAAGCTCTGGTCTTGGTGACCGACCCAGATCGGTTCTTGAAATACAGTCTTTGTTCAATTATCCTTCTGTGGCACAAGAGCCAAGCATAAACGCTTCCATTGTCACCTGTGGATTTCAATTTATGTAACCAAAACGTTTAGACCAGTGGTGACGAACCTACGGCATGTGTGCCAGAGGCGGCACTCAGAGCCCTCTCTGTGGACACGCGCGCCATCGCCCCAGCCCCGCCTCCCCTCGTGGCCCCCTCCTTACCAGCAGCCCCCCTGGAGGAGAGTTGCCCCTAGGCGTGGCCTGCACGGAGCAGCACAGCCAAGGACATAGCCAGGTAGCAGGGTGCAGATGATGCTGTGGGGTGTGGGCAGAGGGCGTGGCTGCCATGGCACTGCAGGGCTGCCTGGGCGATCTGGGCCATGGAGGCGGTGTGTGGTCCTGCGGGGGGCGGGACAGGAGGCGGACAGGGGCGGAGCAGGCAGGGCGGGAGGCTGAGCGGGGACAGAGGGCAGTTTTGGGGCACTCGGTCTCTGAAAGGTTCGCCATCACTGGTTTAGACCCATTTTTCTCCCTCAACATATTTTCCTTGCGTATGGACAGATTCTTGCCTACTTGTGACAATTCATTATGATACGCAGTTACCAACAATCAACAAATTATTACCAGAGTAGTAATGGGGGACTTGAACTACCTTGACATCAACTGGGAGACCAACTCTGCACCAGGTGGGAAATCAAATAGATTCCTGATGAGCCTAGTTGATAATTTTGTCATCCCAAAAACCAGCTACGTAGCTCAATAGCAGTAACTGTGAGAGGGATCTCTCTGGCTCACTTAAATATGAGCAGGCAGTGTGTGGCAACATAGTTCTAGGCTGCATTAACAGAGGGATAGAGTCAAGATCGTGTGAAATGTTAATACCACTTTATAGCGCTGTAGAAAGTCCACACTTGGAATACCGCACCCAATTTTGATAAACACAGTGTAAAAAAGATGTTGAGACAATAGAAAGAAGGCAGAGAAGAGCAACAAAGATGATTAAGGGGCTAGAGGCAAAAAAATACGATGAACGGTTGCAGGAATTGGGTATGTCTAGTTTAATGAAAAGAAGGACTAGGGGGGACATGATAGCAGTGTTCCAATATCTCAGGGGCTGCCCCAAAGAAGAGGGAGTCAAGCTATTTTCCAAAGCGCCTGAAGGCAGGACAAGAAGCAAGGGATGGAAACTAATCCAGGAGAGAAGCAACCTAGAACTAAGGAGAAATTTGCTCACAGAACAGTTAACCAGTGGAACAACCTGCCTCCAGAAACGGTGAATGCGCCAACACTGGAAGTTTTTAAGAAGAGACTGGGCAGCCATTTGTCTGAAATGGCATAGGCTCCCCTGCTTGGGCAAGGGGTTGGACCTCTGTCACTGATAATGTTACGAAGTTAGTTCATGAAACGTCTGCAAGAAAGCAACCAAGCTCAGAGAGCACCAAGGACCTCACCAGTTTAACCTTGAGCTATAAATATTCACGATCCAAGAAGGCTGCCTTCAAATGACATGCTAAATCTTACAAAGTGGATTACCTTGGCCAAGTGTTTTGACGCTGACGGTCTTCTCTATCGAACCTGATCTACATCGATGTGCTCTTTAGAACTCTCACATGCCTTCTTAAAAAAACCCCAATAGTTCTTGTTACTCCGTAGCCCATGAGCAAATGAAGCGATATGTTACAATCACTCTTGAGGCTCCAGAATTCATTTCTGAGCACCGTCATGTCAGCCTGAACATACGGTTACAGGCCTTGCCCTGAAATCCCTGAAGATTCTCTGCTAGCTTTGTGTGAAGCTGGGACAATGAGTGGGGCAGTCCTTTGATTAATCTTCCATCCATCCCCCTGGAGGGCAGGCAGGCAGAGAGTGATCTAATTACTGCAGAGGCCATCCCCACGTGACAGACAGTTTTAAGCAAAGCTCCTGGGAGGGTAAAATTGAAGAGGAAAATAGATGTATTTGAAATTCTGCTCAGGGTAGTCTTCGTGAACAAAAGTGGACAATTGCCTCCAGCCCCCGAGCTTGTTTTAATCAGTGCCTCACATCACCATGAATAGAAATTTAAATTCATCAGTTCCTCTTGTTATCAGAATGCAGAAGATCAAAGTTGGAAGGGACCTTGGAGGTCTTCTAGGAGGTCTTCTACCAGAGGTCCCCAATCTTTTGAGCCCCAGGGACTGGTTCCATGGAGAAAGTTTTTTTCTACGGACCGGAGAGTGCGTGGTTTTGTGTGTTGCCTGTATCCCACGGATGGGGCTTTTCTTGTTTGTGCGGACCGGTTGCTGACACGCCGCGGTCTGGTACCGGTCCATGATTGGGGGCCCCTGTCCTATACCATCCCAGACAAATGGCTGTCCAGTCTCTTGTTAAAAGCCTTCAGTGATCGAACACCCACAACTTTGGGAGGCACTGATTAATTGTTCTCACTGTCAGGAATAACAGAACAGCTGGAAGGGAACTTGGAGGTCTTCTAGTCCAGCCCCCTGTTCAAGTAGGAGATCTCTCTAGCCCAGTGGTTCTCAACCTGTGGGTTGGGACCCCATTTGGGGTCGAACGACCATTTCACGGGGGTCGCCAAACAACGCAGTCCGCCATTTCCCCCCCCCCTTTTCCTTAGCTGTGCTACTCCCTTTTATTCTATTGGCTTTTGAAATCCAATAGAAGAGACTCTCTTGAATAGAGTCTAATTCTATTGGCTTTCAAAAGCCAATAGGAATTGTCCAGGCTGTCTCTGCCCTGCTGAGCCCGCCAAAAGTCCCATTCTGCAAACGGAGCTGCACCAGTTGAGTAGTCCTCGACTAACGACCGGTTGAGGGTCGCGGCATTAAAAAGGTTGAGAACCACCGTCCTATACCATTTCAAACA